CCCGGCCGGCGCCGAAAGCGCCGCGGCCCTCCCGGAAGCCGGCGCGCGCTCCCTGCTCCAGGCAGGTCTCGGCATTGCCCACCCTCCGCCCGGGTCTCCCGCGCTTCGCGGCCGAAGCCTGCGGGGCAGGTGGGGAGACCTCGTTTGAGCGGGAAACCGGCGACGCTCGGGTGGCGGCTGTTCCTCGGGCTCCAGCCTGCGGTCAGGCTCTCGAGGGCGTCTCGTTCCCTCGGCTTTGCCTCTGAGGCTCCTGGAGCAGAATGCAGCCTCGTGCCCGCCAAGGGCCGAGCCGCCATCCCTCGCTGCATTTTCGGCCGGCGCACTCGGGCCCTGCCGGCGCTTTTTTCCCGACTCCCTGCCCCGGGCGCCTCGCCCGCCTGCCACTCCGGCCAAGCCGCCGAGCAGGGAGCCCGCGGGCCCGGGGCGAACAGGGGGTCTGTGACGGCTCACCCTCGGCGCTGTCCCCAGAGTGGATGCGCGACGTGATCAATCTCGCTGCATTTATTAATTCCGCCGTCTAGACAGAGGAGAAGGCCGGGTGGCGGCTCCTTATCTGCATTTGGCATCACCTGCAAACGATACACTGAAGGAGCCACAACAAGCCCCCGCTAGGATCGCGGCTGCCCGGGAAAATAAGTCCACCCAGAACCAGTCTGGCGTGTCCTTGGTTTATTTTCTTTCCAGACCCGAAATGCAGGGGGCGGGGGATGGCCCGGGTGGGAGGGGGCTGGGAATGGCCCCTGGATATGCCGTGCCCAGGTCACTTGGTGTGACATTTCAAACCCCTGCGCCTTGTTTTCTTGAAAACGGGCTTTAGTGATCGCAGGAAATAAGCGAGAGATACTGAATCTCCAGCAGGCCCCCGGGCAAGCACAAAAAACAGGAGGCTCAGGTTTTACCCTTAACAAATATTTAACCCTTTGGCAGCCTGGGACAGTTCTTTTCCTCAGAACAGGCCTCACTTGGTGGACTCGGGAAGCTGCCACCCTACCAGTCAATCTACTCTTGAAGAATCTCTGGCCTTGGGTTTCCGTTTCCTTGTCCCTCGAGATAAATGACCCACAAGTATATCCTTCTTCGTCCAGGATTTGTTTTGAAAGACGGAAGTGTCCTGAATAGGGGATAGCTCAGGTAGAGTCTGGTAAGGGAAAACGTGTCTGAGGGGCAGCTGTGGTCGCTGGATAAAGGAGTAGGTGCCTTCTGTTAGGAAGCTTTGGGCTGGTTGGATGGCCAGAGGCCACTGTCGGTTTTTCAGCGGAGCTGACGGCAGGATTCCATCACCCGGTCCCCTCCCCTCCCCGCCCCCATTAGAAAAGGAAAGCTGGAAGACTGGAAGTCAATTATTGAAAGAAAATGAGAGGTGGGAAAATCAAACCAAATTTATATTTTACTTCCTCAAAGTCAAGGTGATGCTAGCACAAAATTTGAAGAGAACATTCCCTTTCTTTGGGATTTAGGAAATGGTGCCGCAAACTTAGAGATAAGGGAAGAGATCCTAGGGTTAATGAGGACCAGCTTTACCTCTCAAGTGCCTAGAAACGGTTTTAATAATCAGGGTTAGGTTCTTTGAGGCTTCGCTCCCTTAACTGAGACCATTCCCTCCCAAACAGAAATATAGATATTTCCTCTTACCTCCTGGCTGGCCATTGGGTAGGATGCTAAACTTCCAAGAAATCTTAATTTTAAAAACTTCTGATTAATCCAGCTTATTGGGTTTTGTCATTTTAAAAAAGGAAACAAGTTCTTGAGTAAAGAATTTCATTAATGTTTATTGTTAATTAGCTCTGAATTTGTGCTTTTGACAGACTATTTTAATGCTATGAATGGAAACATCTGCTAATTACAGTAAACTCTTATTCTTGGATCAAATATCTAATTCCTCTTTTTGATATGTGAGTGTGCTGATTTTGAATATTGGGAAATTACTCAGATAAAAGTGATTACTGTGTATCAGGATGCCTGAAGCCATCTGTATTACTGTATAAAACATCATAAGCTCTTCTGTAGTTTGCTGCTAGCTGCCCAAAAGGGCGCACTGTTTCCCATGTGGGTTACCAGGGAAAGCCTTTGACTTTGAAGCCTTATTGCAATGGTCGCTGGTGAGGTGTCAGATCTATGCTTGGTTAGTTACATTAATAAATATCAGTTTTACTGGTTCCCAGGCCATCTTTAAACATGTTTTGTAATACAGTTGGGATTTCCTTGTAAATTAAATTACCTGTAACAATTACAAATGTTGTATTTTATGCTTACTGAACTTTGAAAGTGAGACACCCAATTGTGTGGTAAAAAGTCAGTTCAATAAAAAGGGGCCATAGGTGGAAAATGGGAGTTATTTAACTAGATTCACTTTAGAATAATATTTTTTTTCAGAAGACCTATCTAATAATTTGGATAGCCCTATGTAATTGAGGCAGGAAAGGGATTCCCAGAGATGGAAAAGTTTATGGCCATTATACCACAAAATTTAATACATATTGAAAGGCTGCACAATTCTGGGAAATTCAGAGTCCCTGTGGCAGTATTCCCAATGAACTTTAATATTTAATGGGCTGTGGAACAGAAATCAGCCTTTCAATTTTGATTGTGGAATGGCTTAAAGCTCAGAGCTGCAAGTACTGGGTTTAAGTGAGACATCTTCTAAGATTGTTCTCTAGAAAATGTTAAGATTCTGCCACTGCTGCCCACGGAAGGACATACATTGCCACACATTTAGTTAGCTGTGTTTTCCCGTACAAATGATCACCAAAGAGAGCAAGAGAATTAGCTGAATAGCAGCATGCTGGAGAGAGGAAACAATGAATGAATAATAAACTATTTGAAGAGAAGTTCCAAGCAGGAAATTCAGAGTTTATTAAATTGATGTAGGGAAGATTAGAGGCTTTTAAATATGGGTCTGATTGATGTAAAGGTAAACTCTCCTCAGGATACTGGGATTCAGTGCAATAATGAGGATTGGGTGACCAATTACAGACTAGCACCTTGTTGATAGAGCCCCTGCATGAACGATGCAGATAAACGCAGTTGGACTGAGAGTAGTAATGGCAGAGAAAAAGGGCACAAGGAAATACTCATTGGGATCCAGATGTGGATTTGGGGTTGGCTCAATTTATAAAGCAAGTTTGGGGCCCCGCAGCAATCGGGACCGAAAGGCAGGAGTGCTAGGTGAGTCGGGCCTTCGGATCAGGGCACCTCCTCAAGAAGGTCAGGAGTTGGCGGGCGGGGGGAGAATGAGTCAGGGAGAGAGCGGAGGGGCAGGAGTTCAGGAAGGCTAAGAATCTTCTCGCTGGGAAACAGGATAAGGGGGTGGTTTGAATACAGAAGGCAGGAGAACCCCTGTGCTGGGGACGTGGGAACTGGGAGAGAGAAGTGGAAGAATAGGGATGGTGAGGAGTAATCCCTTTCCAGATTACTGAGAACCAAGAATTTAGAAGGAGCTCTGGAAGAAAGGACCCAAGTGGTTTCCCAGCTGGGGAAGGAAGGAAGGAAGGAAAGGCTCGTCCGGGAGGTGAAGTCCGGACCTAGGCTCAACGGGGGCGACGTTAGGGGTTGGGGTATCACAGAGTCCCCGGTGTCTGGAGCCAGAGAGAGGCTCCAGACCTTCGGGCAGGAAGCTGCGGCTCCGACATCCTGTTGGGCGTCCAGGATGACGACGAGCCCTGCCGGGCTCCCCGCAAAGCGAGCTGCCGCCGGGAGCAGGAAACTCAGTTGGGCAACCGCGTTGGGCGCTCAAATGTCACTGCTGCCGGGCTGTGGGCAGCTTTTTCCTATTTGGCACAGATTCTGGGCTCTGATGCCCGAGCGAAACTGTTGCTTTTGCTCCAGCTGTGCCCATTCGCACCGTCAGCTTTACAGGCTGGACCCAGCAGAGGCCTTTCGCCTGGGCCCAGCGTGATCCACCTGTGGCCCCGCAGCCTCGGGAGACCCGGGATGCGGCCCCGGCCGCAGGAGAAAGCCAGTGGGTGGCACTCGTCCCCGCAGACTGGGAACAAGATGCGCCGGCGCTCTCACCTGCGCGCCGCGCGCCCCCGCCCGCTCCCTGCCCCCACCGCCCGCCCCCCGTCCCTGGAGAGTTTAGAAGTCGTAAAACTCAGCGGAGTTAGAGCTTAAATTACTCTGTCCGCGCGGAACGCGCCTGAAAGGAGGGAACTCAAGACGCGCAGAAACCGTGCGGGTCGCGAGGCGCTGCGCAGCTCCAGGCCGGATTCTCGCAAACTCCCCAGCCGGGCGGAGCCGGCATTCGTCTCCATCAAACCCCCTCCCCTCCCGGACGAGGGGGGCAAACGACACCATTCAATTAAATGTTTAATTGCGAATTCTGGTATGGTTTCTGGGAGGTTAATCACAGCTGTCTCAATTATTTATGGTTTTCTGGCAAATTTCCGATTAGATAAGAAGTATATTCTATTGTGAAGCGTCTTGCAGGAAATCTTATAAATATTTGATTATTCCTTTCAGCTGCTGCAAGGGTTCTGCGTTCACGCCCCAAGACGCACTGGGCGAGCGGCGTTCGGGAACTCCTCTCCCGGTTGGGGCGCCCCGGGCGGGCGGCTGCTGGTCGCGGAG